TCACCGCGGTAACAAAAGCTAACGTTACACCTCACCACGGTAACCAAAGATAACGTTACACCTCACCGCGGTAACAAAAGCTAACGTTACACCTCACCGCGGTAACCAAAGGTAACGTTACACCTCACCACGGTAACCAAAGGTAACGTTACACCTCACCGCGGTAACCAAAGCTAACGTTACACCTCACCTTGGTAACCAAAGCTGACGTTACACCTCAGCACGGTAACCAAAGCTGACGTTAGACCTCAGCACGTTACACCTCAGCACGGTAACCAAAGCTGACGTTACACCTCAGCACGGTAACCAAAGCTAACGTTACACCTCACCACGGTAACCAAAGCTAACGTTACACCTCAGCACGGTAACCAAAGGTAACGTTACACCTCTCCGCGGTAACAAAAGCTAACGTTACACCTCACCACGGTAACCAAAGATAACGTTACACCTCACCGCGGTAACAAAAGCTAACGTTACACCTCACCACGGTAACAAAAGCTAACGTTACACCTCAGCACGGTAACCAAAGCTAACGTTACACCTCAGCACGGTAACCAAAGCTGACGTTACACCTCACCGCGGTAACAAAGCTAACGTTACACCTCAGCACGGTAACCAAAGATAACGTTACACCTCAGCACGGTAACCAAAGCTGACGTTACACCTCAGCACGTTACACCTCAGCACGGTAACCAAAGCTGACGTTAGACCTCAGCACGTTACACCTCAGCACGGTAACCAAAGCTGACGTTACACCTCAGCACGGTAACCAAAGCTAACGTTACACCTCACCACGGTAACCAAAGCTAACGTTACACCTCAGCACGGTAACCAAAGGTAACGTTACACCTCTCCGCGGTAACAAAAGCTAACGTTACACCTCACCACGGTAACCAAAGATAACGTTACACCTCACCGCGGTAACAAAAGCTAACGTTACACCTCAGCACGGTAACCAAAGCTGACGTTAGACCTCAGCACGTTACACCTCAGCACGGTAACCAAAGCTGACGTTACACCTCAGCACGTTACACCTCAGCACGGTAACCAAAGCTGACGTTAGACCTCAGCACGTTACACCTCAGCACGGTAACCAAAGCTGACGTTACACCTCAGCACGGTAACCAAAGGTAACGTTACACCTCACCGCGGTAACAAAAGCTAACGTTACACCTCACCACGGTAACCAAAGATAACGTTACACCTCACCGCGGTAACAAAAGCTAACGTTACACCTCACCGCGGTAACCAAAGGTAACGTTACACCTCACCACGGTAACCAAAGGTAACGTTACACCTCACCGCGGTAACCAAAGCTAACGTTACACCTCACCTTGGTAACCAAAGCTGACGTTACACCTCACCACGGTAACCAAAGCTGACGTTACACCTCAGCACGTTACACCTCAGCACGGTAACAAAAGCTGACGTTACACCTCAGCACGTTACACCTCAGCACGGTAACCAAAGCTGACGTTACACATCAGCACGTTACACCTCACCACGGTAACCAAAGCTAACGTTACACCTCAGCACGTTACACCTCAGCACGGTAACCAAAGCTGACGTTACACCTCAGCACGTTACACCTCAGCACGGTAACCAAAGCTAACGTTAGACCTCAGCACATTACACCTCAGCACGGTAACCAAAGCTGACGTTACACCTGAGCACATTACACCTCAGCACGGTAACCAAAGCTAACGTTAGACCTCAGCACGTTACACCTGAGCACGGTAACCAAAGCTGACGTTACACCTGAGCACGGTAACCAAAGCTGACGTTACACCTCAGCACGGTAACCGAAGCTGACGTTACACCTCAGCACGGTAACCAAAGCTGACGTTACACCTCACCACAGGCTCAGTCGGTGCTCGTCGTGATTCATCCCTTAAAAAAAGCTGCAGTGTGAATATTTTCAGATTTCACTGTTTGTGTTTCGAGTGGAGCTGCATGTAAAGAATATGAACTGATGTCGCCCTGTTTGTTTTTATTTAAAACTGACATTATGGTTGTCAATATCTTTTAGATTTTAAGACATTAAACTTCGAACAATCGATGCCTGCAACGACACAACAACAACAATAATAACAACAACAACAGGAGTCTTTGCACCTGATATGATTAATTTCACTGTTTTTAATCACCAAGAATTACAACAGAATGTGTTCATGCAATCTGGACAATAACACCTCCTCTCTGCTTGTAAACTGCATTTATACAACGTTTACCTTTTTTTATATTCAATTTGTGCAGAGACGTACACGCAGATGAAGCACATACATCAACCTCACTACAAACAATCAATACAGACAAAATAAGAAGGCTATTCGATGAGTAAACAGTGCAGAAGATCAGGTCTGGGAGATTAATCGAGCTTGTTTCTGAAGGAATGAAGCTGGGTGAAATCTGTGTTTGCATTAGGTTTGTCTGTCTTTGTCGGTAAGAAGGTATCTAAAAGGTAGGGACCAGACTCTGCCCCCCCGCTTTGCCCCCACTTTTGCATCTTTGTGAGACGCCAAAAGGACTTGAGAAACATTTGAATTTGCCGACCTGTGAGTTTTGAATGGCAGCTCTTGTTTGAAAAGTGTGACTGCAGATCTGTAGTTTTTCACAGCTTGCTAAGAAGCATTTTGACACCCTGACTGCTGACGTGTTTCTGGTTGATACTACTCTCTTTCCCTGCAGGCGCACCACGCCTGAGAAGTTCTTCATCGAGGCTTGTGATGACGGCTGTGAGGACGTCCTGGCCATCGACAGAGTGTCCACTGAGATGATACTCACAGGTAAGTCTGAGGACAGGTGCCCAGCGACGACACTGTGACTGATACTCGGAGAGTTTTTCATGCTCATCAGCCTCATCACATTTATTTCTAACCGGAGCTGATGCACAAACTCGATGTCTTCATGTGTGACCTCTTTGTTCTGTTTCTGTAAAGTTTTGTGCACATTGCCTCGTCCTGCAGCATCTCTCAGAGGACGCCTGGACCGAACGCTCCTCATCCTTTAGTTCACTCGCTGTGTGTCTGAATGTGAGGAGGAGGGGGGGGATGTTACAGTGAACACACAGGACAGGAAATGGTCAGATCTGCTAATTATCTCTCTCCTCTCTCTGGGCCGTCTGTTTCCAGGACAGAGAGCACGAGTCTCATTACCTCGGAGGAAACGTTCATAACACCATGTCAGATATTTTTATCCCTAAAACAGAGATACTCCACCTCGGGTTTGCTAGATAATTCACGGGCATCCCCAGAGAGTCGTGGAAAAAGAAAATAAAAGTGACATATTAACAATTAAATAACAGATTTTTGATGGGGCGGGGCGGGGGGGGGGGGTCTGTCTACATTACAGCGCCTGTACCAGTGATGTCATCAGTCTTATAGTTCTGTTAAGAGGCCGGCTGTGTGCGGGCTCAGACTCACACCCTCATGGTGTTCCCACAGGCTGCATGTTCCTGTCTTTAAGGGCATATCTATTATTAACGTTTCTTGGCTTTTTAAAGAATCTACTCCAGAAAGGGACAAAGAGGTGTGTGATCAACTTACACACCAATAAAACATACATCATCCCTCTTCAGTTAACAGGAAGTTATGACAAACTTTTACAGGGCTGATGTCGAGGGGCGTCGGGCTTTTCAAAACGATCTTTTTTTACATTCAATTCAAATAACTTTATTTATCGGTTAGGAACTTCATTTGTGTAAAAGAGCATCACAACAACAGAAACACACACATACAAGTGGCTTTATTAAATGCGTGATAAATAGGTCATAAATAATTGTTATAAGCGGTTAAAAGAGTTTTGTTAAAATAGATCATTTGTTCATGAGCCCTGGTGGATGTGGGAGCAAAGCTTGACACGGCCTCGATTAGTCCAGAAAGTGAGAGATCTGTATCTGTGGCCTGAGGGGAGACGGGTGTAGAGATGGCAAAGTGTGTGTGTTTACATTAAAAAACTGGCTCTTAATTTATATTCAGCTGCAAAAGCATGTGATGCAAAGAGAAGAAGGAGAAGAAGAAGGGACAGAGAGATCACACTGGAAGAAATATCTCCTGTGTCTGGATGTTATTGATTACTGAAACCATGAAGCCTCTTAAAACACACTGAAGCTCTTATTGTTGATGGTGAAGAGTATGACACGATCCTGAACCCTGCTACGTGCTGCAGATAAAATAATGCATGCTCAAAGTGAGAGAGTCTGAGTCTACAGCTGGAAGTCCGTTAGTGAGTACACATGACAGACGTCTGCTGTTTTGAACGTATTTAAACCAAAAAAATCATAAAGTATGCACGTCTGAATCGTTGAGTACCGGGTCCATCCATCCATCTTCCTCTTATCCGAGGTCCACAAGCGCAGTAAGTCAACCCAGACTTCCTTCTCGCCAGCAACGTTTTCCAGCTCCTCCTGGCGGTCCCCAGGCCAGATGGGATATATAAACACTGGATGCTGGACGACTAAATCGGCACACCCCAAATCACATTTCAACAACAAGGCAATTCAAAGAGCTTCATGTTTAAAGTCAGCTTCAATGCATAGATTTCATAACACCACCTCAGAGTTTACCGGGGAGCAGATTACTCTTAAAATCCTCCCTGGTTGCAGCTCTGGTTCAGATGATTCTACAATTCACTTATTCACTTAACTTAGACTCTTTCATCCAAAGTGACGTACATCAGAGATTAAGAACAACACAAGCAAGGATCTAGAAAAAAGGGAACAATGTCAGTAAGAGCAAACGATCAGCTTTGAGTCTGATTGGACACACAGGTGCTGACAGGAAGTGACCAGAGGCAAAGCACAACATTGAGGGCAGTTCTTGAGAGCTCTAATCAGTATAGAAACCATCTTATAAGTCGTCGTTATCAAACAAAAACCATCGTCATTACCATCATCATCATCAATAATATGGAGACCATCATCATTAAGTTAGTAGGTATTCATGAAAGAGCTGGGTCTTTAGCTTTTTCTTAAAGGTGCAGAGGGACTCTGCAGATCACATGGAGTTTGGGAGTTCATTCTGTCTCTCTAATATTTTGGTCTTCTTCCTCAGTGAGGAGGGACGTCCCCGCCTCCGCAGACAGCCGGCCGATAAGTGGCCTCATGGGGGACGATCCGCCTGGTGGCAGGTAGTTGTACTGCATGGTTATGTTTCCAGGTGAAGATTCCTGTTTGTTTGTTTCTCTTTTTGAAGCAGCTGTTCTCTGCGTCAGGTATGTACCTGGTGGTCATCACGAAGAAGAAGAAGGTGGGAGACCTGCTGGGACACGCTGTGTGGAAAGCTCTGGAGTTTGACATCATCTCGTACAAGAAGACAATATTACACCTGACTGACAACCAGGTAAGAGCTGAGCTTTGTTTGTTTTAGGATTCCTGCTCCGATGACGTACTTAAACTCCTGCTCAAAGTCGGGCTGGGAAATTAATCAAAAATGAATCAAAACCAAAATTCAGAATTCTTTTTTTGATTATTTTCAGGGCAGAGTCACATGACGACACGTCCAATCAGAGACATGGAGTAATGTCCGTAATTTGGACACATTTTGTCTTTAAGGAAGACGACACCCGAACAAAAAAAAAAGTCAAATGTAAAATACTGCAGAAAAACTGTCTGCAAGAGAGAAGTAGAGAAGTTCATTTTCTACTTTAAAACTAAAATGTGTCGTTTTCATTCCAAGCGATGCTTTGAATTCAGTTTGAAATATTCTATAAATAACCACAAAATAGTTCATCAGATATTCACTCTGTCATTAGAAAAACATATCCCAGCTTTAATAGTTGAGTGTATTTACAGTAGAGACCTCATCAGTGAACTAAGACCAAATAATCGTTCATTAATCGTAATCCAGGTCAAATGTTCAATTAATCGTCATTGATTTGAGGTCAGATCGCCGAGCTCTGTGTTGCACCCTTCAAATGAACCGTTCAGAACTCGTCCATCTTCACTTTTAGCTTTTAACTTTTATTAAAGAAATGCCCACACACACCTCAGTGTCTTCTTCACTGAGCCTCTCTTAAAGGGCCAGTGTCTTAATCTAGATAAAATAAAACACACAGTATTTACTGTTTACTCTTAGAAATATAAATTAATTTAAATACTTCTGGAAATTAAATTAGTTTAACTAGACACACTGATATAACAAAATGACAGAAGAAAATATTTTACCTACCTCACAGGTCTCTCCTGAGTCCATCCATCAACTACAAACTGTTTTTTTAAACAGGCTTTGAAGGAAACGTATCAAACTAAAATCTGTCAAAGGTTTCTTTGTTATCTGCAGAGGGGACGTTTGTCGTAAAGTCAGCAGCAGGCGATTATAAAAACATGCAGAAAAGGACACGAATAGATCCATCAAAATGAAGTTAAACACAATGTGTGTGTTCAGATGCAGCTCAAAGAAGAAACAACAAAGACATCCTCGCACAGAGAATCAGAGGAGTGTTTGACTTTCTGAACTTTAAGATATTCTATAAAAGCCGTTGGGTTCAGAGAATCAGGACGTCTTTACTGTCAGAGGACGTGAGGGATTCAAACAGCAGGTAGATCTGATGTGTCTCTTTGTGTGTTTATGTTTTCAGATGCAGGACAACAAGACGTTCCTGTCCATGATCAACCACGTGCTGCACACCGACGGCTTCTACTTCGCGACGGACTACGACCTGACACACACTCTGCAGCGACTCGCCAACACCAGCCCCGAGTTCCAGGAGATGAGTCTTCTGGAGAGGGTGGGTTCATGATCACATACAGCAAGTCTCAGTATGTTATACTGGGATATTACTCCCACCAGTATTTAGGATGCTACCCACTTTATATAGAAGATGAAATAGGTTTAATACTTATTTTCAATCCAGAATATTACAGTTCAGTTCATACAAACACTCTGAGAGTTATTTTTCATGTTGTATTTTTTTTTTTATTCTTGTCGTCTGGAGTTTTTCCGGCATGTTTTCTCGCCCTGAGTCCTGAGTGACCGTGTTCTCGTCTTTGTACTAACCTGTGCTCTCTGTTCTCGTCTGCAGGCGGATCAGCGTTTTGTGTGGAACGGTCACCTGTTGAGAGAGTTCATGACTCAGCCCGAGGTCAGACTGCATCCCTGCTCTCTTCCTTTCATTTTGACCTCTCACTCTGGGTTCTTGAATTGTTCTCAGTAAAATGAGCAGCGAGTCGTAGTTTTCTATATTTCTGGAGTCTAAATTCCTGATGTATACGTAAAGTGATGTTCTTCTTTCCTCTCTCCTCTTACAGCTACACAAGTTTGTGTTTCCTGTTATCCACGGCTGTATCCTTTACGTGCTGCTCAGCGTATTCCCTCTCCATCAGAGGTCAAACAATCGATCTGTGCTGTATTTTATTAACGATGCTGTCTAATGAAGAACTTCAGCAGCGCAGGTCACGCTGCCTGTAGCTCAGTTTTCTTGTCTTGTAGATGTCAGGCTCGCTCCTTTTTTATCACTCTTGTATGTGACCTTCATGTGAAGTTGGTTTCCTGAACACACCTGTCCTTCAGTCATCGCTCTGAGGTCGAGCTGCATCAACGGGAAAGTGTTTGAGTGGAGTATCATCTCCAGGAGGAGCTGCTTCAGAGCCGGAGTGCGATACTACGTCAGAGGTAACGAGCTCCTCTGAGCCTGAGGGAAGCTTCTCAGACACATCTCAATTATTAAAAATGTATTTATGTACGTAAATAAGCGGCTCATTAATTAGTGCTGTGTGGGTTGTGAACGAGGGAAGCTGGCTCCCATGTGAGATCCTCTTCTTTATTTCCCTTTTTGTTGTTTTTTAAATGTTTCTCTCCAAACCGCTCGGCCACAGCCACACCTAGCACTCTGTGGTTCAACATTCATGTTTTTATACATCATTTTAAACATCATGTAAAATAGTGTTCTTCTGGGAATCATTCAGTTAAGTATATTAAGAATAACTTCAGTAAAACAAATGCACACATATCAATAATAACGGGTAAAAACATGGCTAAATTCTGCCGATTTAGGAAGCCCAAATGAAACCAAACAAAGAGCCGTTTGCGGCGGAGAACCGGATCACTAATCAGACCCAGAATTTTGCTTTCAGGACTTTCTTCCTGTTGTACCAAACTTGAACTGAAATCTGACTTCTGTGTAGCTTTACTCCCCCTAGTGGACGTGAAGAAGAAGTACTTTACTGTATCTGAATCAGGACTTTGAAGCCGTCACATGTGGTCTCTAACAGAAGTGTCTCATGTGTCTGTGTGCAGGTATTGATACTGAGGGTCATGCTGCTAACTACGTGGAAACAGAGCAGGTGGTGCAGTTCAACAGCGCCAAGGCCTCGTATGTTCAGGTGAGACAAAACCAGAGAGGCTGCAGGAGTCTCAGGTTGTTCATGTTCTATGGATATGAAGCTTTGAGAACGCTCTGTGATATGACATCACGATGAGGTTGATGAAAGTCGTCCTTTCTCCTCCACAGACCAGAGGCTCCATCCCCTTCTTCTGGTCCCAGAGACCAAACCTCAAGTACAAACCAAAACCACAGATCAGCAAGACTGTCAACCATGTGAGTTCACTCCACACCCACATCGCTCTTCACTTAATATTACAAACAGCTTCCATCCA